ATTCGCGAACCATGGTGCCTCTTTTAATGAAAGTGCCAAGAGTTAGATCACCGAGAAAAGAATCATTGATATCAAGGCCATCATGTAGCCTCTCCTCTTCCTCCAAACGAGATAAGTGGTCCGCCACTTGATTTTTACTTTTCTCTTTCTCTTAGATGTCAATATCAAAATCTTGCAACAAAAGTACCTATCTCATCAAACGAGCTTTAGATTCCTTTTTGTTCATCGGATAGTGAAGTGTCGTATGATCCGTGTGCTCAATAATTTTGGCATCCATCAAGTAAGGGCGTGACTTCTCGATATCAAATACAATAGCAAGTAGATCCTTCTCCGTAACGGTATAGTTGACTTGGGCACTATTCATGGTCATACTAGCATAGTATACCAGGGTAGAAAACAATGTTGATACATTGCCCCAAAACAACCCCAACCGCTGCATCACTTGCATCACACATGAGCTCAAACAACAAACTCCAATTTGGAGATGTAATGATAGGAGTGGTTGTTAACTTGAGCTTCAATTGTTCAAAATCTCTCATACAATCATCATTGAAATTGAACTTGGCATCCTTTTCGAGGAGTTTACACAAAGGGTTCACCACTTTAGAAAAGTCTTTGATAAATCTCCAGTAGAATCTCACATGCCCCAAGAAATGCCTCACACCCTTTATCGAGCTAGGAGGTAGAAGCTTAGAAATAACTTCAATCTTCGCCTTATCCACTTTAATACCATTCTTTGAAATCTTATGGCCAAGGACAATGCCTTCCTCAACCATGAAATGTCATTTCTCCCAATTGAGTACCAAATTTGTTTCCTCACATTTAACCAACACCTTGTCCAAATTAGCAAGACAATCACCAAATGAATCCCCAACTACCGAAAAGCCATCCATGAAGACCTCAATGTAGTTTTCTACCATGTCCGTGAAGATAGCCATCATACACCGTTGAAAAGTATTCGGCGTATTACACAATTCAAAAGGCATCCGTTTGAAAGCAAAGGTACCATATGGACATGTAAATGTAATTTTCTCTTGGTCTTCTGATGCAATAAGAATTTTGTTGTATCCCGAGTAACCATCAAGAAATTAATAGAAAGCACGACCGGCTAATCTATCAAGCATTTGATCAATGAAAGAGAGAAAAATGATTGTAATGACTCGGGCGGTTATTTTGAGTATTACAACCCAGTTCCCCCATTTACTGCTCAATTTATGCTTTACAATTGTTATGTGACTTGCTGGGGTGATTAGTTCGGGTCCGGTGAGGTTTTGGAATAATTTGGAACACTTAGTTCCAAGGTTTAGAATTTAAGTTGAAAATGTTGACCGGATGTTGACTTATGTGTAATGACCCCGGAGAATATTTGCTAAGGAAATTAAGGTTTTGTGGTGCCGAAGTAGATCAATTAGTACAAGGCTCGGACCTTTTGGGTTGAACAATGCGCTGGTGAGTAAAAGAAAATTTCGGGCAGGAAAATATATTTCTGCGTCCCACTATGCGGCCGCGGAATCACTCTGTGGATCGCATAATGGCCGCAGAGTAAAGCAGTTGAGGCAAGTTTGGAGATCAGGTTTGCGGCGCATTATGCGATCGCAGACCAGTTATACGGTACATTATGCGAATGCAGAACAGGTCTGCGGGCCACATAATGACCGCAGACTGAGTCAGTTTCGCCCAATTCCGGAAGGCAATTATGCGGCCCATTCTGCAGACCGCGGAAACATTATGCGGTCGCATATGCGACCGCAGATCTGCGTCGGGGCTTTAATTGTTTTAATTTTTGACCCGACCCTATTTCGATATATTGAGGCAAAGGGACTCTTTTGAAGTAAAAATCTGATATTTTAGAGAGTGGTAAGAGCATCTTAGAGAGAGAAAGTGAAGACCTAGTCAATTGTTCATGAATTCTTGTTCAAGGCTTGAAGATTTTCACAAGGATCTTGCTAGGGCTTCAAAGAGGTAAGAATTTCTTTCCCCAATTCTTCAATTTTGAGTTTGGATAAAGATGGGTGATTGAGATTATGATTGTTGAGCGTAAGAGTATCATTTATACATACACGTACAAATAAGGTTATGGAAAGATTGTTGAGTTCAAATGGGTAAAGATTAGGTTGAAAATGGTAAAAATCTTCATAGATTTTAATTGAAGATTTGAGGGTCGAGTTGATATCGGAATTTGGTAAAATTTATATGGTTGGACTCGTTGTTGGATGGGCGTTCATAATTTATAATTTTTGTCGGGTTCCGAGGAGTGGGACCCACGGGCAATTTTTGAGTGCAATTTCGGATTTTGTTGGAAAATTAGTATTTTCATACGGAATTAATTCCTATAATTTGAATTGATTGAATTGAATTAATTGTGACTAGATTCGAGGCGTTCGGAGGCCGATTCGCGAGGCAAAGGCTTATTGGAATAAAGAATTGCTCGGATTGAGGTAAGTAACAGTTCTAAATATGGTCCTGAGGGTATGAAATCCCGAATTATGTGTTATATAATTGGTTTTGAGGTGACGCACATACTAGGTGATGGGCGTGTGGGCGTGCACCGTAGGAATTATAACTTGGTCAAATTCCATGGAACTGTATAGTTGAATAATTCGTTGTTATCTGTAAATTCTCCATGTAGTAGAGAAATTGAACCACAAATCATGTTTAGATTATGTGTTGGCACTGTAGGGACCCACAGAGGCCGTGTACATGTTGAACTATCTGCTACATTGTTATTTTATACTCAGTTACAGTTTACTTATTTATTTTATCTCATTCTCTATTGTCCATTATTGATACATCATATCATTATTGTTTGGGCTGATTTTCATGATTATTGAGAGCCCTAGAAACTGGAGAGATTTATGACTGAGTGAGGCTGAGGGCCTGATTGTGAGATATTATACTATAGCACGTGAGTTGTCCGTACGGATCCAGATATTGATACTATAGCACGTGAGTTATCCGTGCAGCACGTGAGTTGTCCGTGGGGATTATAGTGCTTGGGCTGTAGGAGCCCCTCCGAAGTCTGTACACACCCCCATTGAGCGCAAGTACCTACTGAGTGCGAGTGCCAGTAGGTGAGTGAATGAAATGGCTGGGTGACTGTGGTCCTGAGGGGATGCATTTGATTTTATTCTTATTGCACTACAGTTGTCATATATCACTGCACTGGAAATTTCTGAAAGATATTATCTTCTTTTTCAGTCGAACTTGACATGAAATTGTTGTTTTGGCCTTGAATGTTGAACTTGAAAGCATATCTACCTTATTATGTTAGAAATTATTGTAACTGGACTCAGCTGTGAAGCTCGTCACTACTTTCAGTTCTTTATTTAGTATTGTTACTTGCTGAGTTGGTTGTAATCATACTATACCCTGCACCTCGTGTGCAGATCCAGGTACTTCTGAACACAACAGTTGCTAGTTCTCGGAGTTTTATCTATTGGAGATTATCGAGGTAGCTGCTTGGCGCCCGCAGACCTTGACTATCTTTCCTTTCAGTTTTTGTACTGTTCTACATTTTCAGACAATTTGTTTTTTTTTTTTTTTTTTTTTTTTGCCGTCAGACTTTGTTATTATTTAGATGCTCATGTACTCAGTGACACCAGGTTTTGGGAATGTATCTTATGTCAGTAATTTGTGAGATTTTTCTATGGAAATTCAAATATTATGACTTCAAACTTAAGAGAAAATGTGGCTTATTGAGGTTGTCAGCTTGCTTAGTATTGAGATAGGCGACATCACGACGGTTTAGGATTTTGGGCCGTGACAATGATCCTTCTACATTGCTAGTATTTCGATAATCCATACAAACCCTCCAACCAGTGACCGTTCTTGTAGGTATCAACTTATTTTTATCATTGGTAACAACCGTCATGCCTCCTTCTTTGGGACACATTGAATCAGAGAAGTCCATGAACTATTGGAAATGGGGTAGACAAACCTGGCATCCAACCATTTGATAATCTCCTTTTTGACCACCTCTTGCATAGCATCATTGAGTCTTCTTTAATGTTCAATAGACGGTTTAGCACCATCCTCCTCGGGCAGTACCATGTCCAACACTGCATCCAGCAAATGCATTTGGTCGACTAGCAGAGAGAATGCATGTGTTTAGCCATATGTGAAAGAAATATTCCAAAATCAAACTCAAGTCATTTTAACGTAGAAACAAAAGAAGAAAACATTGTACGCCAATAAATTCGCTATCAAACTAAAAATGGAGATCCAAACTAGTGTGATTCATGTTTCTTCCCACGTATTAATCCACAGTGTCAATGCGATATTCGAAAATATATCATTTAATTTGTTTGAGCCGACTGATTTGGAGTATAAATAAATAAATTCTTTCCTTCAAAAGAAAATGTTCTTTCTTGATCATTTATTTATAGAATTTAAGGATGAACAAGATGTGATAATGTTTAACAAGCTGATAACGCCACGCAACCAAATGAAATCACTTAAAATGTTTTCTAATTCTTGATCAAATGAGAATTGCTAAAATATTTTACTATATCAAATTCTGATTTATAAACGACATAACATAATAATCACATCTTATGTTAATATTATTGAGCCACGTGTTTTCTTTTCATATTTTAATTTACTTCTTTTCTTACCGAATGAAACATCACCAACATAAGATGGAACGAGCTTTTTAGAGTTAAATTAAAGGTATATTTACAGTAATAGATGGAAGTAATGTTTTAATGGGCAAAGTTGAAACTTGTTCCAGGCTTCCAGCATGAGATTGTTCTTAAGTCCAAGAACAGCATTTTGCACAGTAATTTTACTTTCGCCTTTCACAAAAAAGTCAGTTGTGAAATATTGAAGTATAGCATTTTCAACGAGCACTGGTTGTATATATGATTATTGCAACTTGGAGATTACAAGAAAAGAGGGAAATCACCCACGTGTTGGATAAATCAAAAAAGGCAATTAATTCGACTTTCTATGACTTTCACAAATCCTATCATCATTAGTATAAAATGAAAGCAAACAAAACTAAAATAAACTTGACACTTTCTTTTTCTCTCTTCTTTGAGTTATCATTGTTTCATCAAACACCTAGAAAAAATGGCTCTCTTCGTATGATGAATTCCGTAGAAGTTGCAATATCAAGCACATTAATCATATATAGGAAATATTAATCCCTGTCCCTTATAAAACGATGTCTTCTCCAAAAATTTCTATTTTGTTTCTTTTTTTCATTTTATTCTCCGTATGGACAACACCAGCTTCTGCGACCAAAAAGGTAAGTTTGCTTGATCCTGTTTATTTTTATAAAAATTCGTTGACTTGTAATCATGGTCTTTTAGGTTTAGAAAAAGTGAAACCATCTTAGGTTAGAATAATTAAACATGAATTGAATAATACAACATTTATATGTGTCTCTAATATTTCTTCTTCTTCTACCACCACCCCACCACCGAGGGTTGTCATGTGATGGGTGATCTTTTCACTTTTAATCGTGTTCGAGCGTTAGGAATGGACATAGGTGGAGAGGAATTTAAACTTGACGGAATGGATATAGAATGGAGAATTTCTGGACAGGAGCAACTTACCTACGCAACACGAATTTGAATTAGTTGGACTAGTAAATTTTATATCTTCTGTCTAATTTCATATTCTTCGACTACAGTCTTATGTGGTATATATGGGATCCCACTCGCATGGCTCAGCTCTTACTAGAGCTATTCTCCAAAGGGTATCAGATTTCCACATTAACTTCCTCGCAACATTCTTGGGATGGTATGAAAAACTTTATGTGAAAATAATTTGCTCATAGATAGAGTTCCCATCTTAACATTTATTTCTAATATTTATTTTTGCATGCAGCAAAGATAAAGCAAAGGAATCCATATTTTATTCATATAGAAGGCGTATTAACGGTTTTGCAGCTGATTTGGAAGAGAAATTTGTAGCTCTAATTCAATGTACGTAAGCCTTATTTATGAGAAGGGAAGAGTTTTTAAGTTTTAAACTTAATTGAAAGGTGAATCCGTCTAATCATGTTTTTACTATCTGATTAATCATTACTCCGTTGATAAACAATATTAGTATATGTGTTATCATCTGCAGTGCATCCTAAGGTGATTTCTGTTTTCCCAAATGAAAGGAGAGAATTACACACATTCCATTCTTGGGATTTTTTGTCTTTGGAAGACAACGGTGTAGTTACCCCAGGTTCTTTGTGGGAAAAAGCCAAGTTTGGCCAAGACATTATCATTGGAAATCTTGACACAGGTATTTCTTTTCTGCTCAGCCTTTCATTTTAGATTTGAATTATAGAGATTTATAATATATAGGTTTCACTTTTTTCCTATAGGTGTTTGGCCAGAAAATCCAAGTTTCAATGACGAAGGTTATGGGCCCATTCCATCAAGATGGAAGGGTGAATGTCAAAATGACGATAAGGTTCCATTTTCCTGCAATAGGTATATAACATTAATTGGAAATGCATGCTAGTTCTATTCTACTTGATTTAAAGGTGATAAATAGGCTGGTTGAGTCAAACTTAAAAGAAATTAAAACTATAGTCAAACTAATAATTTGCGTTTAGTTGGTTAAACTTAAACGAGTTGGACGGATTACAAAAAAAAATGGTCAATATAACGTTGTGATTTGATATATAATTGTAGGAAACTTATAGGAGCTAGGTATTTCCACAAGGGATATGATGATTTAAGGGGAAATAATAATACAAGTAATATTCCAAACTCTTCCCGCGATACCGAAGGGCATGGAACACACACACTGTCCACTGCGGCTGGTAACTTTGCTCCCAACGCAAGTGTCATAGGAGTGTACAATGGAACTGCAAAAGGTGGTGCACCTAAAGCTAGAGTTGCTGCTTATAAGGTAATGGAGTATTAGATTATAGCATTCCATTTCACTCAAAAGTTCAAACCACTATAACATGAACATAAGATTTAATTTGACAACATAAAGATCTTTTACACTGTATATTAGTGTGCTTTAACCATGTAACATATCTTATTTTTCAACTAACCAATCCTACTTTTTATGATCCTTACCTATAGTTATTTTCTAGCTAGGTGATCGGATAGTATTTAAAAAATTACATTTAAGCTCGTTTTTTCTTTAATTTTTTTAAAAGAAGTTAAGCTCGTGAAAATAGGATTTAACTTATATACACCGGAAAGTTTAAGACTTTTACATTATTGGTGTATTTTAACCTGTTAGAAGTAGGTAACACAACCTTATTTTTCGAATGTGAACGATTACAAATAGTTATCTTTGAAGTGAAATGATAGTGTAAACTTTTGTACATTTGATTATAGCGTTTAGCTTATTCCCGTTGTAATTAAAAGCTTAAACAATAATATAAGGTGAAAACATACTTTCATTTCTCTTTAAATACAAGGTGTGTTGGCCAGCAAAACAAGGAGGAGGGTGTTTTGATGCTGATATCCTCAAAGCATTCGATTTCGCCATAGATGACGGTGTTGATGTGATCTCCGCCTCTGTTGGGGGAAAACCACGCCCATATTTTAGAGACGCGGCAGCGATCGGGGCGTTTCACGCCATGAAAGAAGGTATTGTAGTGGTTACTTCTGCAGGAAACTCAGGACCTATGCTTTCAACTGTAGGCAATATTGCACCTTGGATGATAACCGTGGGAGCAAGTACTATTGATCGTGAATTTGAATCCAACGTCAAACTTCAAAATGGACTTACCATCAAGGTTATAGTTTGACTAAATTTCTCTATATTTTGCAGTATGTACATCTATGATTAGCATTTTATTTGGCCCTCTAAATTCAACTTCAAAATTTTCTTGAGAATTCACCAATTTGATGTCATATAAGTTGTCGAGCCTTATTAGTTCTTGAAGTAGAAAGATGTGTAACCGACTTCCTTTGTTTTGTGATACGACACTCTTTCTCTTTTAATAAATGTCTATCACATATTTAATATCTCAAGTTGTAATGATATTTTTGACGTGTGAAAAATCGATATATTTTGCTAAACTTCATGCCTAATAATCAAATATCGTCACATATAATATTAAAGGAATGGCGTATTTCTTTATTCATACATGATTCATTGATTATTTTGTTATCATGACACATATATCAAAAAATTTGTTCTCTTCATCAAGTAGGGAACGAGCATTTCTTATCCATTGCCAGAAGAAAAATTCTATCCACTTATTAGTGGGGAGCTAGCTAAAGCTGCAAATGCAACAGTTGAAGATGCGTAAGATCGTCCTACTTCTAATCTAATATTCTCTTTATTCCATTTTATACGACACGTTTTCTGTTTAGTACAAAAATGGTACAATTCTATATATAATAGTAATTCTTTAAATTTAAACTTCTTATTTTACCTTAATAACATATATTCTTATAATCATAGAAAAGTCATGTCATATATAAGACTATAAGTTCTAAGGATAGTTTGATTTGAGTATGTGCCAAAATACTTCTTTCTTAACCTCTATGTTGAAGCAAACACTGTCATATAAAATAAAATTAAACAGGCAAACAATACCGTCATATAAAATAAAACAGATCGACTTGTCCGCTTTAGCTTCCTTCGCCACAGTACGTTTTCCCAGCTTTCATTTAGATTTTTGTTTATGCATGCAGTAAGCTTTGTAAGCAAGCAACATTGGATGCTAGTAAAGTGAAAGGCAAGATTTTGGTTTGTTTAAGGGGAAATAACACCAGAGTAGATAAAGGGCACCAAGCTGTAATTGGAGGTGCTGTTGGAATGATACTTTGCAATGACCAAACGAGTGGCAATGACATTATTGCAGACGTTCATCTCCTCCCAGCTTCCCATATCACTTACAACGACGGTCTTGCCGTTTTTGCCTACATCAATTCTACAAAGTATGCTCTCTTTCTCTTTACTCAAACAAACCTCTGATGTGTAAGAACAAACTTACCATTCCTATTATAAATGGGTTTACATTATATAGACTATATTATAAAGATTTTTTACACTATTAATGTATCATAAATCTATAATGACAAGTTAGTTAGTAGTATCACGTCTACTAGGTTACTAATTAATATTTATTATAAAGATTTACTTACAAGTGACTTTATTAATTATGTAAATATTTTTTAGGTCGTCAAAGTATAGAATTTTAACTCTACTTTATAAAAAGTTTTGAGTTCTATATCCCGATGAAATACTAAAATTTTTATACAATCATGTTACTATTAAAGTAATTACAAGTAAATCTGCATGAATTGATAACCTAGTAAAAATGCACTAACCTAATATAATAGCTAGGTTAATGTTTTGCATGGTCAGTGTATGTAACTTACGATAATATGTAATTTATCATTTTGACCAGATTACTAATTAATACTTATCATAGAGATATATTTGTAATTACTTTATAAGTAATATAACTATATAAATATACTTTTATATGTATTGTCAATGTATAAAACCCAATCTCTATAAATATAAGTGATTAAATTGCACATATACGAGTTCAATAAGTCCATAGACTACTTTATTGGATGCTCATGAAACTAATGGTTCTACCTTGTATTAACTAGCAATGCTATGGGTTCAATAACCGCACCAAAGGCAATATTAGGCATAAAACCTGCTCCAACTATGGCTTCTTTTTCATCCAGAGGTCCTAATTTGATTACACCTGCAATCCTCAAGGTTTGTTGTAGAGGAATTATTGGTTAGCTACTTAATTATTTATATTGTACAAAATTAATTTTGTGTTAATGTTGTATATATAGCCTGATATCACTGCACCTGGAGTGAATGTTATAGCTGCCTATACAGAAGGAAATAACCCCTCAAATGAAGTGTTTGACAATCGTAGAACAACATTCAATGTAATGTCTGGAACATCAATGTCTTGTCCTCATGTCTCTGGAGTTGTAGGACTTCTCAAAGCTATTCATCCTGATTGGAGTCCTGCTGCCATTCGATCTGCCCTCATGACTACTGGTACATACCCTTTTTTTTGTTCTCAAAACTATTCACCCTTTATCTGTCTTGTTTTTTTAGGTTATGGTATTAAGATAACTAAAGGAAAGCCCTGGCGTAACTGATAAAGTTGTTGTTATGGGTTCAAGCCATGAAAACAGTCTCTTACATAAATTCAGGGTAAGGTTGCGTACAATAAACCCTTATGGTTCGGCCCTTCCCCGAACCCCACTCATAACGGGAGCTTAGTGCACCGGGCTGGCCTTTTGGTATTAAGATGACTTAGATAGTTGTAAAAACGTTTACACTATTAGTGGATGTAAGTTAAACCATTTCGAAAAGAGTTTTAACTTTTTTATACTAAAGTGTAAAAGAACTATTAAAATAAATCCTTTTGAAAATGGTTTAATTACTAATAGTGTAAAAGAATTTCTACGCTATTAGGTTGCCCAAAATATGACTACAGATAATTAACTGCCCCATAATAAGTTGAATTAGCTACTTAAAATATAACTAAAGGTAATTAACTACCCCTTAATAAGTGGAATTAGTTAATCATAAAAAAAAAAGGCATGTAATTTACTAAAAAAAGCTAAAATTACACAGGTAGCATAAAAATTCTTTACACAGTCATAATACTTTATCTGATTTTGATCTAGTTTTACAAATGTATCAAATGGTTTTATTTATTTTCAGCAAGCCCAATAGATAATACAGGAAAACCGTTGCTTGATACCACCAAGGAAGCAGCAACACCATTTGCATCTGGAGCTGGGCATATAAGACCAAATCTTGCTTCTGATCCTGGACTAGTATATGACTTAGAAGTGAATGATTATTTAAACTTTCTATGTGCATCTGGCTATGATAGTCAAGTCATTCGCACCTTCAACAAAGCTCCTTATATATGTCCACCACTTAGTAATTCAAGTCTTTTGGAATTCAATTATCCTTCAATAACTGTTCCAGCTCTTTCTGGCAACTTAATTGTGACTCGTACACTGACAAATGTCGGTCCACCGAGTACTTACACGGCTCGAGTTGGCCAGCCTCCTGGAATCTCAGTGGTTGTGGAACCAAATGTGTTGATATTCAAGAGCCAAGGTCAGAAGGAGAGGTTTAGTTTGCATATTAAAGCTGTGAATACTACTTATTATCTTGCTGGGGTAGATCAACACGTATATGGAGAGTTGGTATGGTCAGATGGTACTCATACTGTCACAAGTCCAATTACTGTGGAAATTGCTCGTTGAGATCATATATCATACTTTGATTATTGCTTAGCTAAACAACAACAACAACAACAACCTATTTATACTAGAACATATTTCATAGTTGATCTGTCTTTTTGTAACAAGTGTAAGGTGAATGAATGATCACCCTCTCACTTAGGTAGCTAGGTCTCTGTATCAAGAAAGAAAAAATACAGAAGAAGAAAAAAAAGGTTAGGTCTATTATATACTTCATCCTTGTCCTCGTGTGACGGATGGTTGGCCGAGGCATAGGAGCGACAACTTGAAGATTATAGGTTCGGATCTCAGTTGTAACACTCATCTGCTCCACCTTCAGTAAGCAGTTTACTAAACACATGTACAAAGCTCTATTTATCTTGTTTCACTTTACAAAGTTCTGAGAAAGCAGATTATGTTTCACTTGGTTTCAAGTCTATATACTGAAAACACAAGTGCTTTTTATGTATTCAACCTCCTAATGCATACATGAAAATTTTTCAAACACACACAAGGCTCTGAATAATAACAGCTAATTCATGGACTGCAATTATATTGCCAGTTGATAAGAGTTCTAAATATTTCCATCACAGAATACTAGTAGTTGGAAAATATTCTCCCCTTTATGTCACCAGATATAAAGATCATAACTGCACATTAGGTTTCCGCACCTCAACAACATATATAGAGCTCCATTCCTTGGTCTCTATTATCATCTCAGTTACATTCTTTCGATTTCTTGAAACTAAACTCCACGCGAAATTTATCACGTGCCAGTAGCTTAGCTGACAAATGCTCTGTCGCCTTCAAGTTAAAATTGAGTTATTATTACCAATTCTTTAAATCAAACCTTCCTTATGAGAAGGAAAATCTTCTGATCCAGCTCAAATTTAGCTGCAATGGATGGATCTCCCCTCAGCTGCATCAGAAGTCCTCCAAAAGAAACAAAGATGTCTCTGAAAACCCAAAAAAACAGTAAATCCATTGTTACGTTAATAAAATGTTGCTTATCAAAAACCAGTAAATCGATTGGTCCCAACAACCAGAAGATAGACAAATCTCAAACACTAAATTTAGACGTTAAATTGAAATAGATTACACATTAAGCAAAAAAAGTGGACTTCTAGCCCAAAAGTTGAAAACAGAGAAAACCGAGTATAGGAAAGTACATTTATATTCCACAATTAAATGCAATAGAAAAAACTCTTACTGAGAAATAAGTCATAGGAATAAAATAGAAATGGCACTTAGAATCTAATCTTCGCATATGGGAGATCTAAGAAGTCAATCTGAGCCAATTCCATATCAACTCTTGGAAACAAGAAGCAAAAAGCAGATATTGCTAAGGTGTGCACAAATGACAAGGCAAAAACATGTCAGAAATAATAAATTCATGTTCATGGAATTGAATTGAATTTGAGAAAAGTTATCCAAACATACGCTTTAACATGCTTTCCTGAACCTTCCTCCGAGATCCTATATAGCTTCCCATTCATGACATATTCGAACTTGTCAGCAAGTGATTTCTTGTTACCCTGCCATCACGTTGCAATACCATCAAGTTTTATCTGGATTTCTAAGAGTTTGACCACCAGACATAACAAGTATCGGACAGTCAAATGAAAAACGAAGAAAAAGAAAGAAGTTCATACATGCATTTAGCCAGACAATTGCATTAGAGGTTAGCTAGAGGTCTTTCTATACCAAGAAACTGAACTAGAATAGATCGAAGCCCTCCTTTTCCTTCCAATTAGCGAGATTCTATCTCTTACCTAGGATATTGGGGTCAAGCCTAGCAGCTTAAGATATTTAAGTTGCCAAACAGAAGTCTTAATTATCGTTTCAAGTTTGGCCACATCATCTTTTGCATGGAAGTTTACTCAGAGTTTCAATATTTTGTTTGCATGGGTTGAAGCCATGGGAGAATATGTGGCATATTAAAGACTTCCATAGAAGTGTTTTCTTATATACATGTTTCAGAGCAACAAGTACGCCTATGTGAATCCCTATGAGAGCCTCCCTCTATATTTTCTACTGATATACTAACAAACACTAGACCTAAGTAAGGGTTATCATCACGACTAAACTTAACTCCAAGTAGCTGGTATAACCTATATGGATCTGTTGCTTATGTTGTGTACTATTTTTCAACAAGTTTATATGGATTTCCAGACCAGGTGTATTATTAAATTGAACAAAAAATATTTAACTTTAGTACACTGTTTGAGTAAACCAAGTGTAAGCTTCACTGGTGAAGGAAATTATTGATAAGCCTATATATTGAAAACACAAGAGGATGCATAAACTGAAGGAAATTATGGGCTACTCATTGAAAAAAGACAAGGGGTTCTTATGTATTTAGCCTACTTCTGATGCACATAAACATCCAACTATAAAATACATACAGGAGGATGTTCAAGTACACAAGGATGAGAATAACAACAGCTAGGAAACATTCTTTCTGATGTTAGCAGGTACAAGGATCATACTTGCAGACTAGGTTTCCACACCACTCATTCCTAGGTCTCCGTTATTATGTCAATGTGGTATGGTTGTGGATATTGCATGGATCTTTCAAGAAACACCGAAAGATTAGCTACAAAAAATGCATCTACCTGTACCGGATGCTTATACACGCACATCAGATACAAATCCATAGTCGAGTCCATAAAAATATGTAGCAATAAAAGATACAACAACAACAACAACAACAACAACAACAACAACAACAAAAAACCCAGTGTAATCCCACAAGTGGGGTCTGGGGAGGGTTTGTGGAATTTGTACAATGGCGAAGAATGTAAGGCGTAGAATCACATAAATCAAGCAATAGATCTTTTTGGAAATGGCGTGTTGATTGAAAACCCATCTTACAAATTCTTTAGGGTTTGTGGAATTTGTACAATGGCGGAGAATGTAAGGCGGGGAATAAGAGAATGGGCATTGAAAGGGAGCTCCATAGCTATTTGACGACGAGGAAACATGCCAAAGCGAACTTAAAGATAATAAATACCACACATTACAATCATGGCAAAAAGATTCCAAAAAATGACATTTGTCACAAAGGAGACTTGAAAGATCTTGATGTGTTTCCTTATGCATCACAGTTGTCTTAAGTCTTTAAAAAATATTTATATGTTATGAGATTAGGAAGTTAAATGACCACTAGACAGGTTTTCTGGTTTGGCTATAGTGACAATTTTCAAAACTGAAGACTTCGGGCAGTACTATTTACTATGTTGGCTCGACAACCCATAAAGTCAGTTTAAGGAAATCCATAAGCAAACACCAACTGAAAGATGTTAGGTAATTCTGCTAGGTTACCAAATTTATTGTGGTTCCCAGTTAACTGGATTTGACAAAAATAGAGATTGCATAGTACCTTTTAGAAAACAATAACGCAAAAATCTCGTGAACCCAAAACATTTAATAGAAGATAAATGAGAAAGATTCATTAAAAAATCAAGATATAGAAAGGAGAAAGAAAAACAAGGTTATTTGGGAAAATTTTGATTCCATGGTTTAAGTCTTAGAGATATCAAAGTACGGACAGAAGGTTAGTTCACATAACCATTGGGGCGGCCATGACGTTCCTGTAGTTTTCAAAATTGCTTCATACAAAAGGAACAGAAGTCTTGTAAAGGAATATAAGTAACTCTGATAAGCATGTCCCTCTGCTTCTAGCAAAGTAAATATGAAAGCCACATTCACCATGACGTACCATAACAGGCCAGTTCTCATGCTTGGTGTTAGCTTTTTCAAGCCCCTTGGGGGGGGGGGGGGG